AGAAATATTAGCCATTATCCCCATCATAATAAAAAAGTTCAACCCATGAGCTATAGAAGCGCCCACTAAATATTTTCTAACACAAGCTACTGCATCAATATTACATATAATAGCTTTTATCCTTAACCTATTATATTCCGGCCAATGAACCATTACAAAAATCTTTAATCCAACAGTATCAGTAGTAATAACAATAGCCCTAACCATAAAACTAGGACTATCTCCATTCCACTTCTGAGTGCCTGAAGTTACATAAGGTATTTCATTAATAGCATGCCTAATCTTATTAACATGACAAAAAACTTGCACCCTTATTAGTATTATACCAAATTTCACCATCCATTAACCTAAATTTAATACTATCCTTATCCATACTATCTATTATAATTGGAGAGTTATGACATTCTAAAAATCTATTCATCAATTGATGGGCATTTGGGTTGTTTCCACCTTTTGGCTATTATGAAGTTTTCATAAGCTTTTCTTTCTCCTGGTATATAACTAGGAGTAGAGTTACTCAGTCAAATAGTAACTTCGTGTTTAACTGTTTTGAGAAACTGCTGTTTTCCACAGTTACACCATTTTACACGCATACCAGCAACATGGGAGGGTTTCAGTTTCTCCACATGCCCACCAACATGTGCTATTATCCATTTTTTGACTATAGCCATCCACATGCATATAAAGTAGTATTTCATTATGGTTTTGATTTTTGCATTTTCCTGATGATGAATGATGTTGAGCATTTTTTCATGGGCTCATTGGATGTCTTCTTTAGAGAAATACCTATCCAAATTTTTTGCCTATCTTTTAATTAGATTATTTGTCTCATTGAGTTGTAAAAGTTCATATATTCTAGATACAAGTCTCTTATTAAATATATGATTTGCAAATATTTTCTCCCATTCTGTAGGTTGTATTTCACTTTGTTGATAAAGCCCTCTGAAGCACAGAAGTTTTTATTTATTTATTTTGGCCGTGCTGTTGGCTTGCAGGATCTTAGTTCCCCAACCAGGGATTGAACCTGGACCACAGCAGCACTGAATCCTAACAAGTGGACCACCAGGGAATTCCCAAAAGTTTTAAATTTTGATGATATCCCATTTATCTATTTTTTTCTTTTGTTGCTTGTACTTTTAGCATAATATCGAAGAAACCATTGCCAAATTCAGGGTCACAAAAGTTCACCCCTAAGTTTTTTATAAAATTTTAAGTACATTAAGGCCTTTGACCCATTTTCAGTTAATTTTTGTATATGGTGTGAAGCAGAGGTCCATCTTCATTCTTTTTCTAATGAGTATTATTCAATTTTACTGCAATTCTTGTTTGTCTAGAAATAGATTTATCAATACTTCAATATTTTATAATGCTTTACAATTAGGCAAAACGCTTTCAGGTTTGCATATGCAACGTCTATATATGCAATTTCATTTAATTGAAGTATAGTTGATTTACATTATATAAGTTTCAGCTGCATAACAGTGATTCAATATTTTTATAAATCATACTCCATTTAAAGTTATTATAAACTATCGGCTATATTCCCTGTGCTGTACAGTATATCCTTGTAGGTTATTTATTTTATATATAGTAGTTTATACCTCTTAATCCCCTACCCCTACCTTCTCCCTCCCCTCCATTCCTCTCCCCACTGGTAACCACTAGTTTGTTCTCCACATCTGTCTATTTCTGTTTTGTTATATTCATTTCATTCATGTTTGTTTTTTGGATTCCACATATAAGTTACCAGTATATAGTATTTGTCTTTCCCTGTCTGACTTATCTTACTAAGCATAAAACCCTCCAAGTCCATCGTGTTATTGCAAATGGCAAAATTTCACTCTTTTTCATGGCCAAATAGTATTCCAGTGTGTGAGAGTGTGTGTGTGTGTGTGTGTGTGTGTGTGTGTGTGCGCCAAGTGTTCTTTATCCATTCATCTGTTGATTGGCACTTGGGTTCCCTTCCATATCTTGGCCATTGTAAATAATTGTGCTATTAACATTGGGGTGCATGTATCTTCTCGAATTTGTTTTTCATTTTCTTCAGATACATACCCAGGAATGGAACTGCTGGATCATATGGTAGTTCTATTTTTAGTTTTTTGAGGAACCTCCAAACTGTTTTCCACAGTGGCTGCACAGATTTACATTCCCACCAACAGTGTACAAGGGTTCCCTTTTCTCCACATCCTTGCCAACACATTTGTGTTCTTTTTGATGATAGCACCTCACATCTGTCAGAATGGCTATCTCATTGTGGTTTTGATTTGCATTTCCCTGATGATTAGCGATGTTGAGCATCTTTTCATGTACCTATTGGCCATCTGCATTTCCTCTTTGGAAAAATTTCTATTCAGTTCTTCTGCCCATTTTTCAATGAGTTGTTTGGGGTTTTTTTTGTTGAATTGTATGAGCTATTTATATATGTTGGATATATATGTTGGATATGTTGAGCATCTTTTCATGTGCCTGTTGGCCATCTGTATGTTTATTTTGGAAAAATGTCTATTCAGGTCTTCTGCCCAATTTTTAATTGGGTTATTTAGTTTTTGGTATTGAGTTTTATGATCTGTTTATAAATGTATGGGTTTATTTCTGGGATCTCTATTCTGTTCCAATGATTTATGGGTATGTTTTTATAACAGTACCATACCGTTTTGATTACTGTACTTTTGTAGTATAGCCTGAAGTCTGGGCACATGATACTTCCAGCTTTCTTCTTTTTTCTCAAGATTGCTGTGGCTATTTGGGGTCTTCTGTGGTTCCATATAAATTTTCAGATTATTTGTTCTAATTCAGATTATCTGTTTTCATTCTTGTGGAAAAAAATGTCCTGGGTATTTTGATAGGGATTGCATTAAATCTGTAGTTTGTTTTTACTAGTATGGACATTTTAACATCAATTCTTCCAGTCCATGAACATGCATATCTTTCCATTTCTTTGTATCTTCAATTTTCTTCATAAATGTCTTATACTTTTCAGAGTACGGGTCTTTCACCTCCTTGGCTAAGTTTATTCCTAAGTATTTTATTCTTTTTGATGTGATTCTAAACGGGATTGTTTTCTTGCTTTCTCTTTCTGATAGTTCATTATTAGTGTATAGAAAAGCAAGACTTGTGCACATTAATGTTGTATCTTGCAACTACACTGAATTCATTTATTAGTCATAATAGTTTTTTGGTGGAGACTTTAGGGTTTTCTCTATATAGTGTCATGTCATCTGTAAATAGTGACAGTTTTACTTCTTCCCTTCCAATCTGGATGTCTTTTCTTTCTCTTGTCTTATTGCTGTGACCATCTTCATCCTTTTGCATGTGGATATCCAGAGTTATCCCAGAACCATTTGTTAAAAGGGCTACTCTTTCTCCTTATTGAGTTGTTTTGGCATCTTTGTCAAAAATCAATTGACTGTAAATGTGAGTGCTTATTTCTGGATTCTCACTTCTATTCCCATCGATCTGTATATCTATCCTTATTCGAGGACCACACTGTATTGATTACTCTTAAGTTTTGAAATCAGGAGGTATGATTCCTCCAACTCTGTTCCTTTTCAAGATTGTTTTGGCTATTCTGGGTTCTTTAAATTTTTATATGAATTTTAGGATCAACTTTTCAGTTTCTGCAAAAAAGCCAGCTAATAGGATTGTGTTGAATCTATAAATCAATTTAGAAAGCACTGCCATCTTAACAATATTATGTCTTCTGCTTGTGGTTTCCAAGGGGGATGGTGGGGAGGGGAAGGGATGGACTGGGAGTTTGGGGTTAGTAGATGCAAACTATTACATTTAGAATGGGTAAACAAGGTCCTACTGTATAGCACAGGGAACTATATGGAATCTCCTGGGATAAACCATAATGGAAAAGAAGGATATATATGTGTGTAACTGAGTCACTTTGCTGTACAGCAGAAATTAACACAGTATTGTAAATCAACTATACTTCAATTAAAAAATAATTTAAAAAACACAATATGTCTTCTGATCCATGAACTTAGAATGTTTTTCCATTTATTTAAGCCATCTTTGTTTTCAAAAACATTTATAGATGTCAGTGTAAAAGTATTGCACTTCTTCCTAAAAATTTATTCCTAAATATTTTATTCTTTTAGAAATGGAATCATTTTCTTAATTACCTTTTCAGTTTACCCATTGCTACTTTATAGAAATACAATTAATTTTTGTACACCGATCTTATATCGTGCAACCTTACTGAACTACTATTAGTTCAAATAGTTTTTTTTTTATTAATGAATTCCTTAGTTTTTCTACAAATAAGATCATGTCAAAGGAGAATACAGATAATTTCACTTCTTCCTTTCCAATCTAGATGGCTTTTTTTTCCCTTTCATTTTCTTGCCTAACTGCCCTGGCTAGAACTTCCAGTACAGTGATGAAGTGTCAAGAGCAGGCATCTTCTTTCTGATCTTAGAGGGAAAGCAACCAGTCTTTCCTCATTAAGTATGATGCTAATTTGGTTTTTTTCATACATGCAAGTTTTATTTCATTTTGTTCTTTTAGGCACTGGCTCTTTGTCTCACCTTGATTTGGTGAAATCCTTCTCATCTTTTAAGTTTTAGCTAAAATTTCACTTTGTTGGGGACATCATTCCTGAACCTTGCAACTAGGCTCACAGCACCCTGCACTTATCACAATCATAACAAATATTTGTCAGCATCAATCTCCCTCCTAACTTGGCCACACCTTGTTCACAGGTGTATCCCCAACACAGACGGCACACACAACTGGGTGTTGCAGCAAACCAGCCTCATGTATATGCTCTATTCCTGATCTTGGCAAGAACACTATTCTAAAAGTTCCATCTCTACCTCTCAAGGACAGGACCCTGCTTTATTCATCCTTACACCCAGCACCTAACAGAGCCTGGCACTCAATTACCCTTAGTAACCTATGTGAATCATTCTGAGGCCACTCAAAAGGCATGAAAGAAAGAAGGTTGGATATAATTTTTGCCCAGCAATAACAAAAAAGGGAAACCATACCTTCAACAGGGCCAATCTGATTGGTCACAGCGAATCTGAGCACTTTTTCTTCATCCGTGTACAAGGCAAAGACCCGGTCCACATTCAGCTGCTGGGTGGTAGGGATGACCCGGTGTCTGGGGCCATGCCTACATGCCTGGTAAGTGATGTTCTGGTGGAGGCGGTAGGACCGTGTTTGGTTGATGGCACCCAATGTGAGAGAGTAGGCTCTGGAACTTGTGGAGGTCACAGCTGCAATAGACATTATTCAGTCAAACGAGGACATTTACAAATACTAAATACAGAGGTTTTTTATGTGAGGTGAGTTTCTCCGCACAGTTTTTCATGTAGTTGCTGGAGCATGTCCCCTTGGGAAGTTTGAGTTTATATGGGAAACCTGCAAGGCGGTCCCAAGAACCCACGTAGATGTAAAACCAAAGCACTGAGAGGGAGGAGGTATAATCGCTGCTGTCAATATTCGCAAAGAATGACTTTACTATATGCCAGCCATGCCCAGCACTCTATAAGCAGTGCCTCATTTATTCCTCACAACAGCCAGTGAGGTGGGCCCTGCCATCTTGTGTGGAGAGTCTCACAGAGGTTAGAGAGTTAATTAAGTAGTCTAAGAAGCAAAGCTGGGGGCTTCCCTGGTGGCGCGGTGGTTGAGAGTCCACCTGCCTGTGCAGGGGACACAGGTTCGTGCCCCGGTCCGGGAAGAACCCACATACCGCGGAGCGGCTGGGCCCGTGAGCCATGGCCTCTGAGCCTGCGCGTCCGGAGCCTGTGCTCCGCAACGGGAGAGGCCACAACAGTGAGAGGCCCGCGTACCGCAAAAATAAATAAATAAAAAAAATAAGAAGCAAAGCTGATATGCAGAGCCGGAACTGGAACTCAAGTTGGCCTGACTCTACCCCGCTCCCCCCAAGTTTTCAACCAATCCATCCATCAGTGCACAGAAGACTTCCAACACCTTGCACTTAAGTCTGGAGGCTTCTGGGGAAAGGGGCAGGGGTCTTTTATCTCCACCTGAGTGCAGAGTTGGGAGGCCAGGCAGTTTTCTAGCCATCAGCTACCCTGTGCCCAGGCCAGATCTCTGCTGCCCATTCACTTCCCTGTGCCTCTTGCCTGGCTTCCAACTCTCACACCGCAGGAGAAGCAAAGGCACAACTCAAAACAAACCCCTGTGCTGCAGGACAGCAACTGAGATTGGGGCAGCATCTCAAAATCAGGGGGTGTCTTATAGAACACATCACACCTTACACATATCAACCATGTAAGAGAGACAGAAAAGGGGTGATTATTCTCATTCTAAAGACGAGAAAATAAGCTCTCAGACAGTAAGTGATCTTACTCCCCACATATTTTAAACACATCCGTAAGAATTCCTGTCTTCTGACTCCAAATCTAGTGGTAGTTTTACAACACTGTACGGCATCTCTGATTTCAAAGCAGGCTGAACCAAGGTTACAGAACAAGTATAAATTCCAATAATCAATATTTTTCCACAGCCCAGAGAGCAGGACGGTTAAAAACTGTACAAAATTATACCATCCCTCCCCAGCCCATAGACAAGGTTGTTATCATATTATTATCTGCAAATATTGGGTAGGGATGTTGACATTCTTGTGTACAACAGCCACCACTTTTCTCACACTAATAAAATAACAAGAATAATAAAAGCAACACTGAGCTCATTTCATGTGTCACACACTGTTCTATAAGGACATTCCACGTAGTCACTCACATAATCCTCACAACTATCTCGTGAGATGCGCACCGTCCCCATTTTACGGAGAACTGGTTGCACGTACCTGAGTCCGAGTAGTGGTAGAGCTCCTTGTAGGGAGCAATGTGGGCTGTGAAGTTTGCTGGGATGTAAGGCACCTGGCCCTGAATGTTGGTTTGAATGCTCAGATAGTTCTCTGGGTCCAGCCCCTCAGCAGTTTGAGTGATTCGAACCCTTTCCTCTCCTGGGTAGAAAGTAACTTCCATGTCATGGATAAAGGTAGCACCTGGAGAGGAAAAAAATCCAGCACAGGGATGAAAGGGGGCCTTGCATCTTCCAGCAATAATCACCAGTGCATACTTCCACTTCCCAGTTTCTCCTACTGCTGGGGATGGTGCCTAAGGAGATCTGATAACCAAGGTTAAGTACTACCAGCTGTTGATCTCATTAGTTCCCCGAACTTTCTGTTAAAGAGCATGGTTCCATTCTATCCCATCTCACACTGCTTCTCTTTGTAGGAACTTGTTTTCTGTGAAAAATAAACCCCTAGGAACATCCTTGACCTTTCTCTTTCTATGGCTGTCAGACTTAACAAAAACAATCAAAAACCCCCAGGACACCCATTTACATTTGAATATCAGATGAATAAAAAACATTTTTAGTATAAGTATGTCCCATACAAGATTTGGGGCATACTTATACTAAATTATTCAATTATTAATTGTTTATCTGAAATTCAAATGTAACTAGGTGTACTGTATTTTATTTATCTACTTTTGACTCAAGGTTTTATCAAAACTTGATTAAAAGCAAGATCCTACAAATGCCTATTGAGCTCTACAGCTGGAGGGCCAAGAACTTTTCTCTCACACTTTATGTGCAATAAAGGGGTAGTGAGGTGAGAAGCCAGGAAGTATTCTCTACACCCTTGCTATCAAAGGGTGGGCCTTAGACCAGCATTATCATCTCCTGGAAGCTTGCTAGGAAAACAGGATCACAGGCCCGCCACCCCCTGCAGAACCTGCACTTTCCCGAGGCCCCAGGTGACGTGCAGGTGGGTTAAAGTCTGAGAAGCACTGTCTATACTATTATAGATCAGAGTCATCAGGGGACAAAGAGGAAAGGCACCCCTCCCCCATGAAGTAAAATCATCTCCAGATGCCCTGGAACTACCACCTGCATCCCTCTTTGGCAGATCTGTGAGTGACAACTGAATTACATGGAGTCTGACAAAGAAGCTTCAAGGGTTCTTGAAGGTAAGAGGGCACGAATGCTCCAAATGGGATCATCTTATTTCTCAGAACAACCTGGAGAACCTTTAGAAGAAATCACTGTCTTTTAAAAACAGTCCTGCAAGGCCAAACCATCCCCAACTACCTCGGGGCAGAAAAACTACACCTGTGTGGCTCTGAAACATTGCACAACTGACTACTGAATGAAAACCCAAGGCTCCACGCCGCCAAAGCCATGGTGACCTGCGGCCCTCCTCACCTGTGAGGCTGAAGCCGTTCTCCCAGCCTGGTTTTTCTAAAGCAAAGAGCCAGCCAAACAGGCCTCCGATCGGCGTGAGCGGGAGAAGGGCCTGGGCGGCAGGCTGCGGGATGTGGCCGATGGCCAGGTAGGCTCTGCCGTCGTCGCCCACCACATAAGCGTGCAGGTCCGCGTCGGTGAAGTGCACGGGCGTGTGGCCCACGCGGAGGTGCCCACTCACCTTCCCATTGACTCGATGAGGTGTCCCTGAGAGACAGCAAACCCCGTCAGCCTTGACCGTTGTCCACATGCACAGATAAAACTATCCCACTGACAACTCCCCACTCTCCACCTTCAGCCCTTTTCGCAACTCCCTAACCCAGCCGCTACCCACCTAGGTACAAAACAGACCTGCCTTTGATCTCACTTCTCCCGTCCTCCCTCTCTCCTGTCCACTTGCACCCTAAGGAGCTAGCCAAAAGGGAGGAAACATTTCTGTTTAATCCTCAAGTTGGGAAATCAGCTGAAACATGTTCATTCCTCAAACTTTTATGGAGCACCTGCAAGTTGCTTAGGCTTTGATTCAAGCAGTAGAGACACAAGGTCCATAAACAGAGCTCACAGTGGCAGCTGGAAACAGCAAGCGACAGAAACAGACCCAGAGCAGCCCCCGCCCCAGTCAAGCCAGCACCCCTCACCTTTGGGCAGACAGTGCTTCCCATTCCCGTAAAACCTGGACTGGCAGTGGCAGCAGAAGCCCGTGGCATAGTCAGTGCAGAAAGCGTGCCGGGAACAGCGCTCGTGGTTGTGTTCGCAGGTCTCCTTGTTGGCAGTGTTGTACGTGAAGACTGGAAAGTAAAACAAACTTGCATGTAAAGGACAAAGTGATTCCAGCATCGTGGTTGCCAAGGTTCATCACGGACACCGCATCCGCTCCATAAAATCCATTTAGATTGTAATAAACAAATGGGGTTTTAATAATTAAGAGACGGAAATAACATTCAACTCAGGGGAATTAACTTGCTTTGTCTGCTGGCAAGAAGTACTGCTGACTGCTCCCATCTGGTCTCTCTGCAGAGCTGGTGAGCGAGGATGAGACTGCGCCCCTCGGTGCAGTGACAGGAAAGCCAACCAGGAAGTACGTGTTAGGTTGAACTGCCATTTTCTGGGTCAAAAATGGCCAAAGGTCAGCAATCTTATACGGTTCAAACTAATATTAATGAGCTCCCGAGAGGAAGACCGAAGAGAGAAACTAACGAACATGGTCTTATGTCTAACCATTCTTTTACTTTTGGTAACCTTGAACTTGAAGAGAATAACCTATAGCTTGTCTTACTTCCCAGAAAAAAAATTTTTTTTCTGAAAGAGAAGAAGGGCACTGAAGAAAGAACACACATACACACACACACCCTAAAAAAAGTGTATAGGAGGCAGGTGGAGATGGAGGGGAAGGAAACAGGGAGCCCAGCTGTGAAAGGCTCTGTGCCTTTGCAGGGTTTCTCATGGTGGGTGTGGCCCAAGCCGGATGTCAGGGCAGCAGCGGAGAGCCTGGCCATAGTCACCATTCTCTAGGAAGCCATGTGGACCTGGGTAAGCTCAGTGCTCCAGTAGCTGTTCCTTCCAGCTCCCGCTTATTCTGCCCATTAAAAAAAAAAAGAGAATCATTTGTGCCACCAAGAAACAAAGGAACTGGAGCAAATGCTATTGTCCCTAAAGGGAAATGGCCAAGGAATTGGAGTGTGGCTGGGGGTTGCTGACAGATAAGAGAAAGCTTTGTCCGGGACACGGGGGATGATCCCAATCCCAAGCACGGCCACCAGGAGGCAAAGTGGCCGTGCACACCTCTGCCTCTGCATCCCCCGGAGCAGGAGTTGGGTGGAGACTCCAGGAGCTGACTGAGCAAAGATGGCACAAAACTCTAGTGCTAGACTCCAGTGCTGTTGTGAGGTGCCGGCTCCCAAGGAAGACAGATAACCTGCTCCTGGGAAAAACTGGGTGGCAGTTGTGTTCCACATCTAGGTCTGAAAAGGAGGAAATGGGAAGGGGAAGAAGAAATGGAAAGATCAGTACTTACCCAGTATTCCGGGGAGAACAGAAAACAAACCAACGTTGGGGCAGGGTGGGAACGTAGCACCATAGAAGTAACAATGGAGCCAGTGTAGACTTGTATCAGCAAGTGAGAATATAACAAAGTGAACATTGAAAGAGTGCCTAATATATGCCAGGTACTATGCTATGAACTTTATTAACTCTTTTAATTTGCACAAGAGCAGGGACTTTTTTAATCCCTGTTTTGCAGGTAAACATGCTAGGCAAAGATTAAGGTGACTCTCCTGAAGTCACACAGGCAGTAGGTGGTGGAGTTGGGATCTGAACCTAGGAAGTCTGGCTCCAGATTCTTAACAGCTGTACTCAACCACCCTCTGGCAGAGCTCAAGGACATCGATCACGAGAGCCAGGCAAAGGATCTGCTCAGGTGACTGGGGTTAGTCAACACAGGCTTCGGAGAGCCAGGTTTGAGTCCTACTTTATAAATAAGGCTTAATGGGAGAAGATAGCAGAGATTGTCCAGATGGCTGTCACAGCTGACAGAAAAGCACAGGTAGGAGAACTGAGTAGCAGCAGCAGTGTTAACTTCTGGACAGTATTTAACTGCTGCTTACAGATTCTTGAGAAAGAAGTGAGCTGAGGGTTGGCAGGACGGACGATCTTGACTCAAGCGGAATATCTGACTGGGAACAGAGTGAGAGTTAAGTCGATGACTCAAGATTTGGTACCAGGCCTACACAGCTGAGAAATTCCAGTTCAAGAAAAATAGAAAATTAGGCATCACCATGAACACTTTTTCCCTTTTTGTTTTTCCCGGTACACAGCCCTCTCACTGTTGTGGCCTCTCCCATTGTGGAGCACAGGCTCCGGACGCGCGGGCTCAGCGGCCATGGCTCACGGGCCCAGCCGCTCCGCGGCATGTGGGATCTTCCCGGACCGGGGCAAGAACCCACGTCGCCTGCATCGGCAGGCGGACTCTCAACCACTGCGCCACCAGGGAAGCCCCCATGAACACTTTTTAAAACAGGAAAGTGACACAAAACTCAAGGCAGAAAAACAGAATGGATAATAAAGAAGATTATAAGAGGTTGCTGTGAGAAAACGATGTATTATTATCTATACCATTGGTTTATTAAGGGGGGAAAAATTCCAGTCTGAGTAAAAAATAAATGAATGTAACTTGTCAAAATCTTGGGGTTTTCCAGCTCTGAAAAGTCACAAGTATTAAGAAGCAGCCCCTGGAGGGACTGGCACAGTTGTGAGTGTGTTCATGGCATCGGCTGCCATCAGGACTCTCCCTCCAGAACACAAGGGAAGCAGGGGCAGCAGAGGGTCCCAAGTTCTGACGTCCAACAGCAGCCTGACTCAGGTGGCTCTGCAGAAACCAGAGAAATGCACCGTGTGTTTCCTCCTCTCCAAAATCAGGATGACACCCCTTCTCACACCTCATTGCCAGAAATCACGTTATTTCTCAGCGTACTTCTGAGCACCAAGGTAAAAAGGCAATTTGATGCAGGACTAAAAGGTAGTCATTTTCAGGAAATTCAGGTAAAAATAAAACCACATTAACACTGTCCTGCCCTCAAATTAAAGAAATGATGGGTTTGTATTATGTTCCCTCTATTTGTTGTTTTGTGAAGACTTGTTCTTCCACCCGATCCCTCTTCTAAGAGAGGATTATGAAACAGGGAGAGATGAACTGGAGGAGGACTACAGGTGTGCTGAGTTGGGTTAACTGAACTAAAATACTAGGAGGAGGCATGGCTTTTCTATGGGTAAAACAGAGAGGCTCAGCAGTGCAGCCAGCAACTTACAAATGCAACTGTGACAAAGTTTATACGTTCATGGACACGCAGACCACACGTTACTAACAAAAAATAAGTTAGGGCCCCATGAAAGGCTATTATGAGACTGAAACTATACTTACGATGGGTTAAATTAACTATTGGTAAGCTGGCTTGGGGATCTTTTTCAACTGTGTGTGTGTGTGTGGAGAGCTGCATGCCCAGGATGGGACTTACTGAGCCAAGAACACAAGCTCAGCCTTCCAGCCCACGCCAGTCACACTGGGGAAAGATGGGTGCGTTCCTAGACAGAGGAACACCGGGACCCCTTTCCCGTGCCTGCCTTCACATGCAGACGTGCACGTGTAACACTGACAATGTCAGCTTAGATGAAAGGTAAATAAATGCCTGTTACAATTTCATTCTTTCAGTAATTCAAACAAATACTTATGGAGCACTCCCTATGGGCCTGGCACTGGACTAGGAATTAGGGATACAGCTGAGAACAAAAGAGACAAAAACTCCTGTCCTGGAGCTTACATTCCCCCCTCTAGGCAGCAGTCAACAGACAGGTCAATTATTCAGTAAGGCGGATGGTGTCAAGAACTGTGCAGAAGCTTAAATCGGGGCGGAACAAGAGGGCTGGAGACGGAAGTGACTTTGCTTCTTTTAAATGACACAGCCACGGAGCGCCTGGGGAGAGGATGAGCTTTGGGTAGAGGCCTGTTAGAGGAGAGGATGAGTGAGGGTAAGAGCTCCCGTCAGGCTGGCGGGGCACATGGGAGGGACGGGGCAGGGAGACAGGAGAAGGCGGGAGAGGTAATCCTGGCCAGTTCTCACCTGTCGGGCCTCACAGATCAAGGGAAGGATTTGGGCTTTAGTCTGAGTGAGGCGGGGGATGCTGCTGGGGAGCAGAAGAGTGACACGGTCTGACTTACGGAAACCTCAGGAATGAGCCGGTGCCTCGATAGTAGGAGGTCCTGGTGGAGAGGATGAGAAGGGACCAAATCTGGAGTTCTTTGAAGGTGGAGCTGCCGGGGTTTGCTGATGAATTGGATGGAGGGAGAGAAGGAGTCGGGGAAGGGTAGAGAGAGGGAAGGAGAGCAGGGTGGGGAGGACAAGCGGAGAAAGAGAGGGGTCCACAGGGATGTTCATTTCCTGGTGTGGGAACTGGAAGGCTGGAGGTGCCATTTACTCGAGCAGGCCTGTGGCAGATCAGCTCCGGCAACGCCTTTGAGGTATCTGGGAAGTCTCACCCCGCCCCCTGACAGGGTCTTATACCCTCAGCGCGGCACTACTCAACCATTCAGAGGGACAGCTGCGTTCCTCCCTATGGATTCTGGGAACCACTGCATCAGAATCACCTGGGATGACAGTTAAAAATGCAAATTCCCAGGGCACACCTTAGACCTACCAATTCAGACTCTCGATGGGCGGATCCCACGAGTCTGTACCTTAGCCACTCCTGGGGTGACTCTTACGTCCAGTGAGGAAAATGTTCAGGATATTTGCAAACTTTCCATTTCTGAGCCAGAGAATCCTGATTAATGTAGTGAATGAATTTCATCTGACCAATTAGCTCCAGGGGGTGGCTGGGATTTCAGGGAATGCTCTAGCATTCATTCCTGGCCTGGCTGAGAAGCGGAACGCTGTGCTTATGGCCCACTTAGGCCAAACCCCCAAGCAGGGCACGTGAAGATCCTTAGTGGACGGAACCGGGAGCCCAGGAGCCATTTCCCTTCCCTGAGGAAGGGGGAGAACAGGACCTAGAAATGTGACCCCACCTGTGGCTCTCTAACCAGGGAAGAAAAGCCAGACGTCTGGTCAACGTGACTTCTCAAATTTCTATGGGAACTGCAGGTAGATTCAAAGATGCTGAATTCCGTGAAGGTGGGGAATCAGTGTCTAAATCCCAGCTGGATGAGATGTGCAGTGAGCAGATGCAAAAACAAAACTTTTTCTGTGGTTGTTTCTATGCCTCTGTACCTCACAGCTTTGAATGTGTTTTCACACAC